TTCTTTTTATTTTATCTATTGTTTATCTTCTTATCCTTATTCCTCTACACCACATTCTTTCTCTCTCCGCCACAGCCCTCTTCATCCCTCCTCTTCCTTTCCCCTATTCTCCTCTCCTTTCTCTTCTTCCTCTCCCCTTTTCTCTTCTCCTTCCCTTTCTTCCTCTCCCCTTTTCTCTTCTCCTTCCCTTTCTTCCTCTCCCTCTCGTCATCTTCCCGTTCCCTATTCTCTTCTTCCCCTTCTCTCCCTCTCGTCCTCTTCCTCCAGCTATTCTCTTCTCCTTCCTTCCCCTTTCTCCCCTTCTCGCCCACCTCTCCTCTCCCCTCCGTCTCCACTTCCTTCTCATTACCAGTCTTCCGTTCCCCTCTTCCCCCCCCCCCTCCTGTTGTTATGGAACGAGATACGGCAGCTTTAACACTTCCTCCTCTTTCTTGTACTTATTACCACTATCATCATTATCATGGTCACTATCATTAATGCTATTATTAGTGTTATTATCATTATTATTAATATTGTTATCATCAGTAATGTCATTATTATTATCATCACTGTTATCTTTTGACTATCATTATGATTTTCGTTATTATTATCATTTGCTATGCTAATCATCTCATTTTCATTATCTGAGCTCTCTCTCTCTCTCTCTCTCTCTCTCTCTCTCTCTCTCTCTTTCTTTCTCTCTCTCTCTTTCTTTCTCTCTCTCTCTATCTCTCCCTCCCTCTCTCTCTCTCCCTCCCTTTCTCTCTCTCTTTCTCTCTATCCTTCCCTCCCTCCCTCCCCCCCTTCCCCCCCGAATGAATGGGCGGCCGAATGCAGGCGGAGATAACAGACGCGCCATCAAAGGGGCGGCGGAGGCGGCTAAAGATGGATTACATTATCGAGCACATTAACATACGATGTGGAGCCCTGGCCTTATCTCCCGACACCTCTCGGCCTCCACCTTATAGTGCCACCTTTCTGGCACTCGACGACCCCTCCCCCCCCTACTCCTCCTCCTCCTCGGGGTGGGTTGAGGGGGGGTGGGGTAGGGTGGGAGGTCGTTTCCCTCGGGGGCGCGGTTGTGATCTGGCTTCCTCATTATTATTATTACTATTATGATTATTAACTTTTTTGTGGGATTTCTGTTTTTTCTGTTTTATTCTTCATTTTGCATGTGTATTATGAAAACATTTACATACATGCAGACATTATACATACATACATAACCCCCCCCCCACACACACACACACATGTATATATATGGACACACACACACACACACACACATATGCACGTACGTATGTGTGCACGACTATAAACAGTGCCTCCCTCCTCTCCTCATCCTCCAGCCCCGCATTCTATATCCCGAAAAAGCCTCTGTATTTACGCCCATTCTCAGTCATATTCATAGAGCGAAGTGCCGCATCCATATTGATTTTATTAGCTTAGACCTAATATACTCCGGGGAACCTATAAAGCGAACGACCTTATTAGCATATCGTGATTTCGGCTGGAATATTGGTGTTTACTTAAGCCTTTGTCACAGCCTGCTCTGCATTTTGACTTCCGGTGGCCTAGGATGCTATTAATTCGTCGGGGTGTGTGTGTGAATCTTGCATAATTATAGTGGCATATCATATAAGACGGAATGATAATGATATCATATTACATAAGACAGAATAATACTCACATATCATAGAAGACAGAAAGGAGGAAATCTAAACAATTATTATACTTATACTGAATCTTTCGATTAATTTGTCACGATATAAATATGAAAGGAAATCGTCGAATGATGATAATAATAATAATAGTAATAATAACAATAATGTTAATAATAATAATAATAATAAAAGAAATAAAAATAATAAATTAAGGCGATAAAAAAAATGTTAGTAAAAAAACACTTAATGCATACAGTCATTTGTTTTCTTGTATTTTTTTTTCTCTCTTCGTCTTCTTCTTCTCCTTCATCTCCTCCTTTCTAAACCTGAAGCATCCGCCAGCGCCAATCCGAGACGAAACGAAGGCATTTAAATTATCTTCCTTTACACAGGCAGGGGATCTCTTGCGAACCCAGGTACCGTGCAGGAAGAAAAAGGTCAAGAGTTGCAAGCTGTTGCAGAAGTACCAGGAGAGGAGCGCCGAAATAAAGGAATGTGTTGCAAAATGTACCTTTGTACGTTTAGATACAAGGACATTATGAATTATACACAGGAGTACATGTCTCTCTCTCTCTCTTTCTATTTCTCTCTCTCTCTCTCTTTCTATCTCTCTCTCTCTCTCTCTCTCTCTCTCTCTCTCTCTCTCTCTCTCTCTCTCTCTCTCTCTCTCTCTCTCTGTCTCTCTCTCTCTCTCTCTCTCTCTCTCTCTCTCTCTCTCTCGTCTCTCTCATTTATATATATATATATATATATATATATATATATATATATATATATATATATATATATATATATATATATGTATGTATGTATACATATTGTATAGACCCGACAATGATTTAAGGTGTGACATTTTGGATATTCATTCTGTGTCTATGAAGTTTTTTTTCCATACAGATAGACAAAGAGATAAATTAATAGACTGATATGTTGAAACTGATAGATAGATGTAATGTATATAAAAGCATCCTAGCTTTACCATTCATTTTGCATGGCCAGAGTGACCGAAAACCATGTCTAAAATCGTCTTCCTTTGATGGATCTGAAAGGGAAATGCACGCACACACACACACACACACACACACACACACACACACACACACACACACACACATACACATACACACATGCATGCATACATACATAATACACACACACACATAATATATATATATATATATATATATATATATATATATATATATATATATATATATATATATATATATATATATATATATATACATATATACATATATATAAAGAATCCTGCAAAGAATTCCAAGTCTACATTTACGGACAAACAAGAATGCTCACTTAATAGTGTACCGCGAGTGGTGTATACCGTGCGTGTATAAGACAGAAAAGAAAAAAAAAGAAAAGAAAAAAAAAATGTGTTGACAAAAATACCACTAAACTTGGACCAGAATACCTCGGAACTGCTCGTTACAAGAAATATCAAAGGCAGACGGAAAGTTGTGTGTGTCTTCGAGCGTGAATTTGCTGATTCTAGTCATTGCCATCGAGTTCAAAATCAGACTAGATTATTCACCCGAAATATACACATAAATAAACACGGTATATCAGGTAATTCATCCAATATATTAAAAGGAAGCTCTTTTATTTCCTCTTAATAAAATAGATTGCTGATTATTATAATAGTAATTAATTCCCACAATCATAAATGACATTTGATTCATGAAAATATATCGTCCACGTACCTTTTTACTAAATATAATTGATAAAGATGTTTTTCATTTGTGTTCTGAAAAGTGTCATTCATTTTTATAATATATGAGTTTTATCTTTTATTAAGAGTATCTTTATTCCACTGAAATTTATTGCAAACAGCAATATAATTTCGGCCAGTATCAATACTCACCTATTTTGATTTACATTGTTTTAGTTTATATATTTTTGCATTTTTTTTTCTACCAATTTATTTTATTCTACTTTTATTTACTGACAACAACTGCATGTTTTACTTCAAAGAACTTTAAGAGGTGGGGATACAATATAGTGTACTAATAACACTGGCACGGGTGGGGGCAGCCAATAGCGTCGTGGGAGGTATAATTGGGGGTGTAGTGTTGGCACTACCAGGGGGGGGGGGGGCGCAACAAAGTGTCGTGGGGTAGGTTGGCACGAGAGAGTAACATTGTAGTGTTGGCACCAGGAGGGTAGGGTACAATAAAGTGTGGCAGGGCATAATAGGTGTGGGGGGGGAGAGGGGGTGTCAGCAACTGTGGGGGGGAGTGTGTAGTATTGTCAATAAAGGCAGTGTGGGAAAAGGGTACAGTAAGTGGGAGGGTAAAAAAAAAAGGTATGTGTAGCGTTGGCACTATCAGGAGGTGCCACAATCAAGAGCCACACTCTTTGGTAGCGAGATGGTGTCGCAAAATAGGGTGTGTGTGTGGGGGGGGAGGGTACAGTGTTGACACAGATGACAACATTTCCTTTAAAAAATTCCTTACTGTGTTCTTCCGTGCAAGCTGAGGGCAGGAGACATGGTACCAGTTAGACCTTTCCTGCGATAATCATTTACGAATCTCAGAGACATCAGGAAAACAAAGAAACAAATAAAATACCCGAGGTTGGATAGCGAAGAAAAAGGGGAAACGCCACAGTAGAAAGAGTCTCAAAAAAGAAAAGGAAGTGGAAGACACGTGATACAAGAGAGGTAGATGCAATTAAACCATAAATAGCGAATCATTAAAAAAGCAAAGTTAACTGATCATACATCATAAACAGATCATGTAAAATGTATGCAAAGGATGCAGCAGCTTGAACGTTAATATCAATAGAGCAATATTCAGCTTAATGCAGGCTAAAGCTTTAGCAATATAACAGCAATATGGCATCATATGAAACAGTCTATTTATATGACACGAAATAAAAGGAAACAAAAGCAGAAATAAGCGAAAGCTTGGAAGCTGCAGGAGGAATCATGAGAGAAAGATAAGATAAGATAAACAAACAAGAAGACAAACAAAAACAGGAACAAATAGTCGCATTAAAGCATTAAACTCAACGGTAAAGAACATACAGGATATGGGAGTATGATATGTGTGTGTGTGTGTGTGTGTGTGTGTGTGTCTGCGTGCGTGTGTCTGTGTGCGTGTGTCTGTGTGCGTGTGTGTGAATATGTGGATCTATATGTATATGCAGGTTCACGTGCACATGTATATATATATATATGCATCTGTATGCCTGTGTGTCGAATAAATGTAAAAAAAGAAAAAAAAATCGAATAAAGACAAAGAATAAGAGACGTGAGGAGAAGACAAACCAAAGGTAAACAGAAGGACCGTAAACAATGCACAGAACCCATATCGAACAAGCTGAAGGGGGACTTAC